TTATATGTATAAATATTTTAGTTCTTTTTTAATATAAAAGTATATTTGGGCTATAAAGTTCACCAAGGAATTTTTCATGCCTTTATATATAAAAATTTTATAAAATGAGCAAGTAAAAAAATTTTTATCAAAACAATAAACAACTAAACAACCAAAAATAGAAACAAAATAAAAATAACTAAACACAAATGTAGAGGATGTGAATCGTATTCATGTTCTGCATTGTTTATGTTTATGTTTTGAATATTTATTTTCGTTGAAATAGCATCTACCATGATAAATATTATTTTAACCAATTCCGATCTTGGTATTATCAGAGATCTATGATGTACATACATACATACGTACGTTTAGATATGGTAAAGAAAAGATCATTGTATTACACCAGATAAATTAAATGCTGTGACACATATGTTTGCTATAAGTACGTATGTACGTACATTCATAATTTTCAGAATTCAAAAGTCATGACAAACGCACCAGAAGAGTGGCTTGAAAAAGCTATTTTTGAGGACATCTTAATACTATTGAATATAATAATTTAACTAACCGCACAATGATTGGCATCAGAGGTTTTGGAAAAGTTTTTAAATATGAGTTGAAAGATAGTGATTTAACGGTCGCTCTTAAGTGTCTTAAAATTGAAGCTGATATAGGTTTAAGTGAGGAAATTATTAAAGATTTTATTAATGAGGTATTTATTATATCATTACTTGCATTATTTTTTGGTATAATACTAAATCTTTTTCTTATCAAAAACTTTAAATAAAAGCTTAAACTATTATGAAAAGTTGATTATCATCCAAATATTATTAGATTCTATAATGTCACGAAAGGTATACATGTATGATTATTTATTTTTAAATAAATATTTCAATTTATTATATTAATTACTGTAAAATAAATAGACAATAATGGTTATTATATATGGTTTTACAATACGCTAATGACAGAAATTTACGAGAATACCTAAAAGCAAATTTTACTGAATTGCAATGGTCAGATAAACTACATATTGCTATGGAAATAGCATCTGGACTTTTATTTTTGCATAATAATAATATTATTTATAGAGACCTTGTAAGTACTATAGAATTTACTAAATTTTATATGTAACTATTTATATGTATATATTATTTACTAACTGCATCATTGATTTAGCATTCGAAGAATATCTTAATTCATAAAGAACAACCAAAGATCACAGATTTTGGATTATCAAAGCAAATAAACGAAATGTCTAAGAATTCAAATTCAATTATTCATAGAATGCCAGCATATTTGGATCCTAAATGCCTTATTGATCACAAATATAAGCATGATAGAAAATTTGATGTCTATAGTTTTGGTGTAATCCTTTGGGAAATTTCAAGTGGAGGACCGCCATTTCAAACCTTTGAGTCAATAATGGCTCTTTGTTTTCACATAATCCAAGGAAATAGGAAAGGTCCTATAGAAGGTACATTGCCTAATATATTAAACTTTACAATCAATGTTGGAATAATAATTCTGCTAAATATCCAGAAACAAAATTAATGCTTGATACTTTGAAGCAACTTAATTCTAATAAAACTTTGCGTCAACACCATCCCATTGGTGTATCAACTCAAAATAGTGACACCTCAAGTCCCAAGATAATACAACCGTACTTCTAAATTTACTTGATGTTATGACATCGTCTCCACTTCATTTGCCTGATACAATAAATTCAAATGTTTCGCCGCAAGACAATAATATTGAAAATATAAGAAAAGAAGCACATGAATGTTTTAATCAAGGCAAATTTCTCGAAGCATTAGAACTTTATGAAGAAATTCTCTAAACAATCAGCATAATTATCAGGATCAACAAAATGCTTCAAACTGGAATCTTTATAATAAATGTTGTAGATTAGAAGCAATAAATAAATTAATAAAGGCACTTTGCAAAAGCACCTCACTAACTAAATTAGAACTTGGTTGGAATAATCTTGAACCAGAAGGAGGAAAAGCATTAGCTAATGCACTTTGCAAGAACACCTTGCTGACTTTATTAACCCTTAACTATAATAATCTTGAATCAGAAGGAGGAAAAGCATTAGCTAATGCACTTGGCAAGAATTTGACATTGGAATATTTGGAGCTTAATGATAATTAACTTGGATCAGACGTCGAACTGCATTAGCAGACGCACTTTGCAAGAACACCTCATTGATTTCATTGAAGCTTAAAAATAATAATCTTGGATCAGAAGGAGGAAAAATATTAGATACACTTTACAAGAACACCTCGCTAACACATTTGTATCTTAGTAAGAATAAACTTGAATTAGGCATTGAAAATGCATTTTATATAAATACCTCACTGACGTATTTGGATCTTGCTTTCAATAATCTTGGATCAAGAGGAGGAAAAGTATTAGATACACTTTCTATGTTAACTTTTTTGAATCTTAAAAACAATAATCTTGGACCAGAAGGAGGAAAAGCATTAGCTGATGCACTTTGCAAGAACACCTCGCTGACTTCTTTAAACCTTAACCAGAATAATCTTGAATCAGAAGGAGGAAAAGCATTAGCTAATGCATTTGGCAAGAATGCTTTGTTCGAATTTTTGGAGCTTAATGAAATAAACTTGGAACAGGCGTCAGAACTGCATTAGCAGATGCACTTTGCAAGAACATCTCGTTGATTTCATTGAAGCTTATTAAAAACAATCTTGGATCAGAAGGAGGAAAAATATTAGATGCTCTTTGCAAGAACACCTCGCTACAATATTTGTATCTTAGAGATAATAAACTTAAATCAGGCGCTGGAAATATATTTTGTATAAACACTTCCCTGACTTATTTGGATCTTGCCTCCAATAAACTTGGATCAAGAGAAGGTAAAGTATTAGATGCACTTTCTACGTTAACTTCACTGCTTCTTGAAAACAATAATCTTTGAACAGAGAGAGGAAAAGCATTAGCTGATGCACTTTGCACGATCACTTCGCTGACTTCGTTGCGTCTTGATAATAATAAACTTGGACCAGAAGGAGGAAAAGCATTAGCGAATACACTTTGTAAGAACACTTCGCTGACTTCGTTGCATCTTGCAAATAATAAACTTGGATCAGAAGGAGGACTAGCATTGGCAGATGCACTTTGTAAGAACACCTCACTAACTTCTTTAAATCTTCAAAGTAATAAACTTGGAGCAGAAAGAGGAAAAGCATTAGCTGAAGCACTTTGCAAGAATAATACTTTGGAACATTTGTATATTCATAATGACACTATCAAATTTACTATAGAATCCAATAATCCAAATATTGAAATAAGCAATGTTTTGACTAGTTTCAAATATAGTTTTAGGTGAAACCTAGAAGTTTCACCAAAAAAATTTAAAAAGACGAAATTACGAAACTGGCGAAGCTAATAAAAGTGGCAAAACTAATAAAAGTGATAAGATTAAAAAGTTAATTTAAAAAATTATTTTTTTTATATTAATGATTAATCACTTTGTTTCTACTTATCTGTTTTTAAATTGTTATATTAAATTATATGTATCAAAAATTATACAAATTAAAATTATATTATTATTATATTTGTTATAATATGTATATTTTTTATATTTAGAAGTAAAAAAATTAATAAATTAAAATTATATCATTATTACATTTGTTACAATATATATATTTTTTATATTTAGAAGTAAAAAATTAATAATAAGAAAAATAAGTATTAAGAAATAAAATATAATAAATAAATCAAATAAAAGAAAAATGGGATACTGTATTAACAAGACACTGTAAGAATACACAAATATCCATAAGAAGCTAAATGATAAATTGAACATGTGATTCATAAAGTCATCTAATCGCATAATGTTATCTAATTTCGCAATAATGATCACCCTGTTACTTCATTGACAAGCTTCTCGAACGTTTTACGATCATTATGCAAAACAGTCCATCGTTACATGATGATTTCATGTGTAATGTTCGGGGTCTCTCATATCAGTTATTGTTATAAAACTTGTTTTATCTTTTATAATATGTATAGTCAACTCTCCATAAATGCATATTATCAGGACCAAACTTTGAGAGCTTGAATTTAGAGAACAATAATAAAAAATATATTTATGGGAGTTTGGTATAGATTTGGGCCAGAAAATTAATATGCATTTAAGGCTTAGGGGGATGCATTTAGGGGGCCAACTGTATATTGATATGTAATTTTAATTATTAATCCAAATAAGGATCTTGTAGCAATACTTTATATTACAAATATTTTTTTTTTTGTTATCCACCCCCATATATATCAACCAAATTGTCCGAGCCAAATAGGTTGATATTAACGAGAGACAACTGTATTTGAATATTATAATATTATAATATTCAAATATTTGAATATTGTAATATTTGACTATTGTAATATTCAAATATTATAATATTTGAATATTATAATATTTAAATATTTAATATTTAAATATTTAATATTTGAATATAGTCTAACCTCTCTATAATCACACCCCACAGGATAAAGATTTGTGTGATTGTAAAAAGAATTTTACTAAGATGTGTTTTTAAAGGTTTTTTACTATATGTTTATAATAGTTGGTTTTAAAATAAATGTGCTTATAAAGAGATTTTTATATGATGTACTTATATAGAGGATAACTATAGGGAGGTTTAATTCTATTTAATATTGAATATTTAATATTTGAATAACTAACTAATATACTTTATTAATAAATAAAAGATAATTTAAATCATTTACAAACTTAAGTTCTTCAATGCAATTAAAACATTGCAGAAAATTTAGTAGTGAATTTCTAGAAATATTTGAGATACAGGTAAAAAAAGCAAATAATTTTGAATTAACTATAAAGAACTAAATAAGAAAAGAATGATTTAAAAGAATAGGTAATTATACAAGTTATAAATATAAATAAAATTTTATGCAAATCATATAAAGCATTAGCTAGTATAGAATATAGCTTGCTAAAAGAATAGTCAGTTTCAAATATATGACAACAAATGAATAAATTAGTAGCAGAATCTATTTCTATTCATTTGATAGATTTAAATTCATTAAACAGTAGTGAAGAAATAATATTGTAATATCTGATGAAAAAGTAGTTTATTGATTATTAAAAGATATTTTAGCATATATTATACTCTTAATATTAAAATCTGATATTCTTAAATATTCAGACTTACTTTATATATTAGAGTATCTGATAGATGGAATGTAGATAATAAAGTAAAACATGTAGTGGTTACTTTTATTTTATTAAATAATTTAGCAAATATTTATTATTTGAATCAACATTTTACTTTATTACTTTATTTGAGTACTAAAAAGTATTATACTTTATAAGCTATACTAAAGCTGAATTAAATAATATGCTAATAAGTTATATAGATAATCAAAGTCATTTATAGTAAGTTAAATTATATTTTCAGCAGATTGGAAATTTTTAGCTACTTGTTTAGGCCATAAAGCTGCAAATTCAAATTATTTTTGTCTTTGGTGTTCTATAAATAAAAATCAAAATGGAATTGCTTATAATTAAAAAATTTCAAAATATATTAAATATATTTATAATAATTATTCTACTATACCTAGTTACAAATATCTACCATTATTTTATATGATATCTTTAACTAATTGGGTTGTAGATGAACTTCATATTATGTTACAAATAACTAATTAGTTATAGTTACTTTTAATAACTAAATTCAGATAAAAAATAATACAGAAGCAAGAATACTAATTAGTAAAAAAATGAAATATATTCAAATTAGTTTTCATTAGTGAGAAGATCCTAATATTAAGAATTGGACTTCAATATCATTACAAGAACAAAATAAATTAAAAATATTAAAAAATTTTAATTTAAATATTTTATTTCAAAATCAAAGATATGCAATACAAATATACTAATTATAAAATAATTTTTATAAATTATATGAAATATGTAAAAAAATCAATTAACAGGAATACAATTTAAACAAAAGACATTAAATTGGATTGATTTATTTTTAATTCACTCATTTGGAAATCCAAATTTAGTATTTTTTATTAAAGGACTATATCAATCTAGTGATTTTTACACCTTATATTTATACATTAATTTATTATATTTCTGAATTTCTTATATATATTGCTATTTGGTATAGGTGAATTTTTTGTTCTGCAATTGAAAAAAACATCAACATTCATTTTATTTTTTTCAAAAAATTATGAAAGATAGTGGTAATAAAAAAAATATGAAAATCAGCATTAATAGAAATTATGGAATGTAAAAATCAAAATAATTCTTTTTTATATAAAATATACTACTCTTATTAATGTTAAAATTTTTTTATAATTGTATTAATAATAAATTTGATCAATGTTATATTTAAGTAATATAAATTCTGCTTTTGTTATATAATTAACATTATTCTTTAACTCTTTAGAATTCTAACAAATTTCTATTTTATGTTATAAAAAATTATAAGATAATAAAAGTACCTATATTTGTTGTTGGTTTTGATATTTTTATACACTTCACTTGGAATCTTCTAATATTTGCTTAAAGTTTTATATGCTTTCCCACCTTCAAATATGCATTGATACCACCTATAATTTGGTGATCATTATTTAATATATTTAAAAAATATTCTAACAAATTGACTTTCTAAACAAGGCATACTTATTGTATATTACTTTTGTTGCAGACAATTATTTTTTAATTTATCTTAAATTATAAAAATTAATGCTTTTTTAATTTAGTAACTGCTTCAGATAGTTGAAAGACTAAATTAGCTTGAGGTTCATTATAGATAGAATGAACTAAAGCTTTATGCCAGCTTAATCCATATTTGATTTTAAAACTTTTTTAGAACATAAAATGTCACAGCTGATGCTGAATTTGGCTGATGTTGAATATCACATAATTATTCAGGCCAGAAATTGCAGATTGCAAGTCGATCAAGAAAAATAAAAACAAACATTTAGTTTATTTATAACTTAAAAATCTACATAGCAAACAATCTTAGTATTCCTGTATTCTAACAAAAATTTTCTGAAGCAATTTTGCTATTATATCAACTAACATCTAATCATATCATAAGCACTAATCCTAACTAAAATAAAGATAAGTTTAATGACTACTCTAAGTACAAAGTATATAACAGTAACCAACAACAAAGTTCTTAAGTTTGTTTGTGCTTAGGGTTATTGCCTATATTAGTATTAGAATTTAGGAGATTATATAATAAAATTGCTTAATGAAAACTTTTTGTTAATATATAAAGTGTTGTTTCTTATGCAAATTAGTGATGTTTGACAAAAGGAGACATTTGTTTTGAATTTTCATGATCATTGTGCAATTTGCAATTTCCAGCCTGAATTCTCATATGATATTTAGCATCAGCCAAATTTAGCATCAACTGTGACATAAAATATAGTAGATATGTAAAAAATAAGAATTGTGTTTACAGTTTAATTTATGTATTGAGGATTGGTATAGATGCAATCCTTTATTACTTTTAAAAGTTTATTAGAACATAAAAAGCAGTAAATATGAGTGATATCTAAAGTTTTATAATTAATATATATTACTTGTTTGTATTACTGTTACTACTTTTATTAAGTAAATTTAGGTTTCAAATTTAAAGTATCTAAAAAGATCCAATTTCCCAATCTGATGGAATAATGGTTTAAATAAACAAGTCATACACCTGCCTATGTGCTGAGAGTCTTTAGCTGCTCTATGTAGTGTTATCCTAAACATTCAATGGACTAAAAAAGGTTAACCTGTAAATTTTTTGCATCAATGAAGTTCTTTCTTACTTAAATATAATAGCAAATTCTGTCCTTAATTTAACAGCAAACTTCTTTTAATAAAATCTTTGAGTTAGTAATGTTAGAGTTCTAGTACTATAGTGCTGCATATGTACCCATCTGGAATAGTATCCCACATATCAAGAATATAATTTATGCAATTTGTAGGTCAATACATATGTACCTGGCGTTAATAGGCCCCTGTTTTAGTAACTGCATAGTGATTATTTTTAGCAATAATAGGCATTTTTTTGATATATAATCAACATCTGTTCAAGAAGTGAAAAAATTTGAGTGCTAGCGCTAGCGATAGTGATAAAAGCAGTGCATCGAAGTGCGTGAAAGTGAATAGCGCTAACGCTAGAGATACCCTTTCACAATCGGTAGAAATTCGTGAACCCAAAAAAGTTAAACCGAAGAAAATCAAATATCAAAAGCAAACGATAAAATCATCAAAAATTAACAAAAAACGCAATCAAGAGTATCACCAAACGCTACTAATTTATTCTAAACGCTAACTTATTTCTGATTACGAGTTCATTTGTAAATCCTCATGTTTATTACTGCAATTGATTCAAATGCATATTCTTATTTTGGTCTATAAGTATATCTAAGATCGTTATTATCTTCACTTAAAAATATCAACTGCGTACGAACTGTTTTATATTCCGTTAATATAATTTCTGTGATTTTTAATTATATTTAACTTTATTACATGTATCAAATAATCTAAGTCTATGTTATTTTCTTTTGATTTGAAATATTTCGTATTCTGTTACTGAGAAATGACCTTCACTTCTAACTCCTTTTTCATATGAACCAAAAGAAGAATAATATTGATTAAAATTATTGAACATGCGAATAGCATCAAAAAATGGACCAAGATTAGGACTACAATAAATTGCATGTACTGGATTTTTTACACGTCTTAAAATAGAGGAAGGAATAGTACCATTTTCAATAAAAAAATAAAGCTATCATTGCAATATAACCAACAAACATTTGATTTATCACATCTTATAGGATTATGACCACCAAGAATTTCATCAGTATTTTTAACTTTCATTACCACAATAGTATTTGCTTGCTTATTACATATTTTCCAAAATGATTCTTTAGTAAAACCATCTCTGGTTCCACGAAGAAGTAATTTAAACTCGTACGGATTATTTTCGATTGAATACGTTTCAGTTTTCTTATCAACCCACGTCGCAATTTCGGCTGCATGTTCTTCAGTAATAACTGTTGAAAATGGAGCTGTCGTACGTGTTGGTAATTTTGATGTTAAAATTATTCGAGATGGAAGAGCTATTGAAGATATTTGTCGATTTTGGATTTGCAATTCTTTTCATTATGTCTTTCCCCTTTCCAAAAATCTCTTTCTAAAATTGGTTGATATGGTTCTACATTATCAACAATATCATCACCGGATATTTGGAAATAACGTATGATGAGGTAAACAATTCTTTAATGTATTTTTTAAAACCAGAAAGCTTTCACTATTCCAATTTTCAGGTCCATTTAATGATAAATCTAGATTTTGTGCAATTCCCCATTTAATAATATAATTCTTTTCTTCCATTTGTAAATCATCTCGTTTAATGAGAGAGACTAATGCATTTTCTTGAAGTGATATAAAATCCTCAGTCGAAAACTTTATTCGGATATTTTCCAAGAAATCATTACACCATTTTTGTAAATTTTGAAATTGATTATTTTGGAAACTTTCTTGATAAATACGTGTAAATTGTAAACGAAGCCAATTAGCTTTTGTTTCAATTAAATAATTTTCAACATGTTTGGCTAATTCTTCTAGAAAAAGCTTAAAAATGAATGATTCCTCTTGATTTTCTAATAAAACCACTCCTCCGTAGATATATCTTTATTAAATTTATACAGTTTATATATTTAGATTTTAAGATTAGTTTCTTGATGCATATTCATATATTATTAAAAATAAATTAATAACTTAATAATAATTTCAAATTCGTTGAATCGAAACCTGATTTAAATTAATTGTTTTTATGTTATTTGTATCTTTGCAAGTGTTTGCCAATTTATCACGAAAATACAATGATCTATATCTTAAAACATTCGAATGTGCTCGGAATATCATTGTGTTTGGTGATTCTCCAGCATTAATGATTACGTTATCATCAAGAAGTTCGAGATAATCTGTCTTTTTTAAAAGCTTCGTAAAATCAATCGAGTTGATCGAAAAGATAGCAAAGCAAGTATATACCAGAATCAACCCTACCAGCTTAAACCAGTACTGTATTAACGTTAATGGGCAGTTTAGCCAAATCAAGCAGGCAAATAAGTTGGCGTCGCATGAAGAAGCACATGCTTTCAGATTTAATCAACTGCTCGTTTTGGAATTATTAGATAATTACCAATAATACTGTAATAACTCCATTGTTTAAAAACCAGTCGCCACAATCAGATAGCATCCTCACAAAGTCAAGAAGCAAGATTCGCAAGATGAACAAGCCAAAAATACTACGAGGTACCCCCAAGTACAAAAAGTCATAGTATGCTATCCGAAA